TCAGGTGAAACTCTGGAGTAGTAAAAACTTGAAAGAGTATTTCTGTGACTATTCGGCTTGATAAAGAATGGGAATTTTCCAAACAATTTTTGCAAAGAGGTTTTGATTTATGTTTTTAAAATAGATTAGATCTCGCTGTGTCTAGGTTTTCCTCGAGCCCTCCAGGAACTAGCGCTGATGTGGCGGTTACAACTTTCTATAGAGGGAACGAAAAAGAGGGATGTGGAATTTGCAGGCGTGTAGAAGGAGCCTTAATATGACATTTTTTTTATATTGTTGATAATAGTTGCCAATCCCCCTTGACACTGTTTTAACCCACGTCAAAGTAAAAAAGTGCCCAGATTCTCCGAAAGTGCTGGTGAGAATCTGCATTTTAAAGTCAACCAGTGCCAGGGAAACTGCTAAACTAAAGGAAGAATCAAGTTTAGAAGTGAGTCAGCTTTCGGCCGAGAGCAGATTGGCACTATTCCGTCTGAAAAAACTAATCTAAAGATGCGATGGAGGCTAAAAGTACATGTATTTGATAGAACCAAACTGTTTTGAGAGCGAGTTTGATTCATTTTATCGTTCCATTTAGTCTGGCTTGAATGTGAGGTACCCCAGCTTTAATATCAACAGTTGTGCGACAGAACAGCTTGGCTTTCAGGCAGATTGACTAAACCCAGCCATAACTCTGGAGGTATAGACAGTGTCCATAGCTCTAGGCTCAGCAAAAGAGTGGCCAGGAATGTGACAAAAGGCCCAGCCAACTCCTGCCCGCCTCCCGGCAACTGTCTGCATGCGCCACGTTCTCTAAATCCAGCCTCACCGCTTCTCTCAAAGTCTACAAACAGGTCCGGTTTCATAGATGGACATTTCTGACTGGGCAAGCATACACACACAGCAGCAGTTGCACCCCCAAAGCCGCCCTCGTTACTGCGGTCAAAATACCGTGAGTTATTTACTATACTTGTCTAGCTAAGCCTCACTGTCTTTAGATACTTTTGCTGACCTACGGCTCTGTGTGGGCTCTCCGATTTCCCACAGGGTGCCTCTGATCTGGGGTTGTGACTAGTGTGTCATGCTCCCAGTTGAGATTAAGGCAACAAAACAGCAGCAAATCACTTTTTCTCATGTGCAATCACAACACGTTTGCTGATCTAAGCTGTGTGTCAATGCGGACTGTTACTGATCGAAGGCGCGATTGTTTGGTTGGATTTGGAGGTGGTGATCCGTGAGTCAGGGGTATCAAGATTTGTCACGAACGGATTACAGATTCATCAATGACAATTTGCAACAATCAGTCGTTGGGAGGTTTGCAATATATCCATTTAATTTGCATGTACATAATTGTGATTTATAGGGCTGTACTGTATTTAACAATTATTTTGATCATTCTTTAATTGTTAAAACCCTGAAAGGTCAGTAAATATAAATCATACATTTGACCAAAAAAAGCTCAAGTGATGCCCCTGGAGAACATTCAAAGACATGGTCGATACATATTGGGTTGTTTGATTTAATTCTTCATGATAGAATTATCGGTGTCATAAAACCTCTTTGAAGCATGTTTAAGTCTATGTGAGATTCACTAAACCATTAATCGCATAATTTATTAGTTGTGATCAATGCATTAACTTATTACAGCCCTACTGAGGGGATATTGTGGCCATTAAATATTTCTAAAGAATATTATAATTAATACAATTATGAGTTTTCATGAGGCTAGTGATGAACATTTCAAAACAAATGATTCGGGAAAAGGTCCTCAAAATGTGGCATGAGACCGGAAGCTGAATCCCATTAATGTGATGCTCTCCCAAGATCCACGGTTCAGTGGTTTGCACTTTAACATCAAGTGAACTTCTAAAAGTCTATTTAACCTTCGTCTTAAAAATAATATGGGAATTTTGGGTATTTCAGAAACCCCACAATGGAGAATGTGAAGCTTTTAATGTGATATAAGTAAGATAAGTTCATGGATTATGCAAAGCAATGCAAGCTTGAATTGCATAGTTCATACACAGGGGAACTCAAAACAAGAAATGAATTGATAGCAACTAATCTATTGTTGATATTGAAAAACCATACCTGAACCAAACTAAGACGTTTTATAATACTGACAGGGCTATATTTACAACATGGAATTGTTTTTCTAATCAAACAATTACATTTTTCAGTAACTCATTGTAAACTAATAGTAGAAACTTCAGACTTTGTAACTTTTATGCATCAGTTTTATATCAGGTGATTAGCTTACTACTGTAGCCACAGCTGATCTGGGACAGACTGACAGAAATGTGCCATGGGCCCTTTTGAGAACCACCAACCATTCACGCACACACCACACTCATTATAGGCAATATGGTTAAAGAGTCTTGCCTAAGGACACAACAGCAGTTTGGCACTTTCCCGCAGCAGCTGCCCCACTGTGGCACCTTGTGATCTCAGAGATCTCCCATCACAGTATAAACCAGCCGCTGTCTTGATGAGAGTAACTGGCTTTCACATGACACCACAATACATATAGATGCTATAATGAAGGTATTGATAATCACTTCCATTGTCACATTGTCAATGATAAAATGATCCAACCAGTTAATGAGCACACCACTTCTTGCAGATGCCTTGTAATGAGAAGTTATACACGTCTGTCACCTCTCATAAGCCTCAGTGGACTTGAGAAAATGTACATTTATTTTAAGCCTATGCATAGAGCCCACCTGGTGTGGACTCAGCACTTCCAAGAGCGACGGCACGCAGAGCAAGACAAGAGGAACTGGGCTGAAATCTGATATTCCTGCCCAGAATTACAGCAGATCAAAACATACACGCAAAGAGGCAAATTAATTCTGACCTTAATAAACTACACAATGACCCACGACAAGAGCTTTCTAATGGTTCTTATCGGCACGCACAATCTGCGAGCTGCTCCCGCCTCAGCAGGGAGGTCAGGCTACACTTCCTACAGGAAACTACGCACTGGACAAACACAAGAAACACGGCAGCCTTCAAAATGATCTACAATGGTCGTAGAAGTACACAAAAGGAAGCAACAGACATGTTTAGGCAATCACAGAATAAAAAGCATTTAACTTTTACAACAATCAAGTCAGAGCATGGACGTGTTGTTGTTTGTCTGTTGTTTAGGGGTTTGTTTGCAATAGGGCAGGCCAATCTAAAAAAAAAGAAAAGAAAAAGAAAAGTAAAGTAAAAGTAAATAACTGGTATGACATTTTTTAATAATAGGTTTGATTATTAATCCATAGATTATTTTTGATACTTTTGACAGCTGTGCATATGATGCATTAGGGCAGAAACAGTTTTGTACCACCAATACTTGAAAAGACCATGACTAAAATAAATGACTTTCTTTTCACACATTTTGAAGAATGTATGTTTAATTCATTCATTGATTCCCGCGTCTTGTTAAACTATGGCTTGCAAAAACAACAGGTGGTACATTTTCAATCATGCACTTTTAATGAATTACCCTTGTGGCCTATGTGGATGATAAACTATTCAAGCGCAGATTTAAATGGAGAGTCTAAAATGACTATAATAAAATGCTGACACCATCTTTGAGCGCCCAGCTAATCCTGCTAGTTTTTTTAATCAGTTTTTGTTGCTTGTTGGAGGCTGGGTGAAGCCGCAGAGCCATCAGTCTACGAAAGTGTTCATCAATCAGGCTAATGCACAGGGGCCTGGCTGGTACTGAGGCTGGCAGAGACGGATGGCACTGGACCCATCTGCTAATAAACCAACGTCAGCCATATCGACACGTGTAACCCTCCGTTAAAGGCAAAGTGAAATGGGGAATGATGCAAAAACTCTCACCAAATCTGATCGCCGTAGCATGTTAAAGGTGCAGTAAGCGATGTTGTTAGCTTAGCCGTATAGCACCAACTCGAAACCACTCCCCTCGCCTCTCCACCAAATCAAACATCCAGAATTTTCTTTTCTTTGTCACAACAGGGAGAGTGGGTGGCAAACGTGAAATTGGCATTTTCTGTTCAGCCCTTTAATGTTTTAGGGTTAAAGAAAATTAAAGAATGAATATATCCAACTGAAAGTGCCATACATCTAAGTACATCATATTATGGCCTATATAAGTATAGACCTACTACGTATGATATCGGCAAACTCCAAAAAGATACCCAGCCCCATCTATAATTAATTGATGAATGCATAAATAAAATTGTTAGGATTATACTCTTAAAAAGTGTAATCAATGTACACAGGCATTGGGAAAGATACAAGTTTGGTACAGGGAACAAAATCTGCCAAGACAGGATCAAAATACAAACATATTTCTTTCAGTGTTATAATTGGATAGAAAGCACACAAAATACTGCGAGTTACAGTTCTAAATTTAGAAAACGCCATGTCCTTTTTGCGTTTTTTTGCACAGAGCAGGTTGATGGAAGATCTTACACGGCGTCATCTGAAATCATTTGTCCTTCTCTTCACCTCCAAGATTTTTTTCTCTTCAATCTCTTGTGACAACATTACTCAATGGAGCAAACTGAAAAGTACAAGTCTTAATATTAAGGTTTTCCGTGTGCAACTCATCATTAAAATGTTTTCAATTTTGAACACAGCAAAGGGTCAAAGGATTTAAACAGTGGCTTTGAAAAGGAAGTAGACCTCATTTAACAGGGACCCTCACCAAAAACACTCAATTGCAATGAAAAAAAAAAGTCCTTTTGGCTCATGAGACGTTTTCAGTCAATTAAGATCCTTTCGGGCTATTTGTAATTAGTTTTTTTTTGCAATTAGAAGAAAAAAAAAAGTTGCTGGTATTTCTATGTAAAATGGAATGTATGTAATTATGAGTAACTTTAGCTGTCTCTTGTCCAGGTAAAATAAAAAGGTAACACTTTACATTACGGGCCGGTAAGTCCATGGTACTTACAGTGGTACTTCTAGGTACTTACGGTGGTACTTATGGTGGTACTTACGGTGGTACTTACAGTGGTACTTACAGTGGTACTTACAGTGGTACTTACAGTGGTACTTACAGTGGTACTTCTAGGTACTTACGGTGGTACTTACGGTGGTACTTACGGTGGTACTTACGGTGGTACTTACGGTGGTACTTACGGTGGTACTTACGGTGGTACTTACAGGGGTACTTACGGTGGTACTTACGGTGGTACTTACGGTGGTACTTACAGTGGTACTTACAGTGGTACTTACAGTGGTACTTACAGTGGTACTTCTAGGTACTTCTAGTGGTACTTCTAGGTACTTACAGTGGTACTTCTAGGTACTTACAGTGGTACTTCTAGGTACTTACAGTGGTACTTAGAGGTACTTATTGTGGTACTTACAGTGGTACTTCTAGGTACTTATTGTGATAATTCTAGATACAGCTGTAACTTAGTAATTCAAGGACACTACAGTATTATTCCTATGTAGTAAATGTGGTACTTCTACATACATACAGAGGTCATTTGTAGGATTGTTTGACTATAAAACATAAAACAACATTATGTAAAACAAACGTCTTTATTAATATGGAATAAGTAGCACAGAAAGGACAGTATAAATACATTTAATGCATATTTCAAAACAAGTTTCAAGGACAAGGGAAACACTGCAAGAACTAGGTACCCAACCCAAGTAACAAGAATTACACATTACCAGGTACTTACCAGCCAAGTACCAGGTACTTACCAGCAAGTACCAGGTACTTACCAGCAAGTACCAGGTACTTAACAGCAAGTACCAGGTACTTAACAGCAAGTACCAGGTACTTACCATAGGGACTGGCCCATAATAAGACAAAGGACTTTAACATAAGTACCAGTGATAACACCAGTAATTATACAGTAAGTACCAGGTACTTACCATAGGGACTGGCCCATAATAAGACAAAGGACTTTAACATAAGTACCAGTGATAACACCAGTAATTATATAGTAAGTACCAGGTACTTACCATAGGAACTGGCCCATAATAAGACAAAGGACTTACCCATAAGTACTAGTGATACCAGTAATTATATAGTACACCATGTACTTACCAGCAAGTACCATGTACTTACCAGCAAGTACCAGGTACTTACCATAGGGACTGGCCCATAATAAGACAAAGGACTTTAACATAAGTACCAGTGATAACACCAGTAATTATACAGTAAGTACCAGGTACTTACCATAGGGACTGGCCCATAATAAGACAAAGGACTTTAACATAAGTACCAGTGATAACACCAGTAATTATATAGTAAGTACCAGGTACTTACCATAGAAACTGGCCCATAATAAGACAAAGGACTTACCCATAAGTACTAGTGATACCAGTAATTATATAGTATACCATGTACTTACCAGCAAGTACCAGGTACTTACCAGCAAGTACCAGGTACTTACCAGCAAGTACCAGGTACTTACCAGCAAGTACCAGGTACTTACCAGCAAGTACCAGGTACTTACCAGCAAGTACCAGGTACTTAACAGCAAGTACCAGGTACTTACCAGCAAGTACCAGGTACTTGCTGGTAAGTACATGGTATACTATATAATTACTGGTATCACTAGTACTTATGGGTAAGTCCTTTGTCTTATTATGGGCCAGTTCCTATGGTAAGTACCTGGTACTTACTATATAATTACTGGTGTTATCACTGGTACTTATGTTAAAGTCCTTTGTCTTATTATGGGCCAGTCCCTATGGTAAGTACCTGGTACTTACTGTATAATTACTGGTGTTATCACTGGTACTTATGTTAAAGTCCTTTGTCTTATTATGGGCCAGTCCCTATGGTAAGTACCTGGTACTTGCTGGTAAGTACATGGTACTTGCTGGTAAGTACATGGTATACTATATAATTACTGGTATCACTAGTACTTATGGGTAAGTCCTTTGTCTTATTATGGGCCAGTTCCTATGGTAAGTACCTGGTACTTACTATATAATTACTGGTGTTATCACTGGTACTTATGTTAAAGTCCTTTGTCTTATTATGGGCCAGTCCCTATGGTAAGTACCTGGTACTTACTGTATAATTACTGGTGTTATCACTGGTACTTATGTTAAAGTCCTTTGTCTTATTATGGGCCAGTCCCTATGGTAAGTACCTGGTACTTGCTGGTAAGTACATGGTACTTGCTGGTAAGTACATGGTATACTATATAATTACTGGTATCACTAGTACTTATGGGTAAGTCCTTTGTCTTATTATGGGCCAGTTCCTATGGTAAGTACCTGGTACTTACTATATAATTACTGGTGTTATCACTGGTACTTATGTTAAAGTCCTTTGTCTTATTATGGGCCAGTCCCTATGGTAAGTACCTGGTACTTACTGTATAATTACTGGTGTTATCACTGGTACTTATGTTAAAGTCCTTTGTCTTATTATGGGCCAGTCCCTATGGTAAGTACCTGGTACTTGCTGGTAAGTACATGGTACTTGCTGGTAAGTACATGGTATACTATATAATTACTGGTATCACTAGTACTTATGGGTAAGTCCTTTGTCTTATTATGGGCCAGTTCCTATGGTAAGTACCTGGTACTTACTATATAATTACTGGTGTTATCACTGGTACTTATGTTAAAGTCCTTTGTCTTATTATGGGCCAGTTTCTATGGTAAGTACCTGGTACTTACTGTATAATTACTGGTGTTATCACTGGTACTTATGTTAAAGTCCTTTGTCTTATTATGGGCCAGTCCCTATGGTAAGTACCTGGTACTTACTATATAATTACTGGTGTTATCACTGGTACTTATGTTAAAGTCCTTTGTCTTATTATGGGCCAGTCCCTATGGTAAGTACCTGGTACTTACTGTATAATTACTGGTGTTATCACTGGTACTTATGTTAAAGTCCTTTGTCTTATTATGGGCCAGTCCCTATGGTAAGTACCTGGTACTTGCTGTTAAGTACCTGGTACTTGCTGTTAAGTACCTGGTACTTGCTGGTAAGTACCTGGTACTTGCTGGTAAGTACCTGGTACTTGGCTGGTAAGTACCTGGTAATGTGTAATTCTTGTTACTTGGGTTGGGTACCTAGTTCTTGCAGTGTTTCCCTTGTCCTTGAAACTTGTTTTGAAATATGCATTAAATGTATTTATACTGTCCTTTCTGTGCTACTTATTCCATATTAATAAAGACGTTTGTTTTACATAATGTTGTTTTATGTTTTATAGTCAAACAATCCTACAAATGACCTCTGTATGTATGTATGTAGAAGTACCACATTTACTACATAGGAATAATACTGTAGTGTCCTTGAATTACTAAGTTACAGCTGTATCTAGAATTATCACAATAAGTACCTAGAAGTACCACTGTAAGTACCACAATAAGTACCTCTAAGTACCACTGTAAGTACCTAGAAGTACCACTGTAAGTACCACAATAAGTACCTAGAAGTACCACTAGAAGTACCACTGTAAGTACCTAGAAGTACCTAGAAGTACCACTGTAAGTACCACTGTAAGTACCACTGTAAGTACCACTGTAAGTACCACCGTAAGTACCACCGTAAGTACCACCGTAAGTACCCCTGTAAGTACCACCGTAAGTACCACCGTAAGTACCACCGTAAGTACCACCGTAAGTACCACCGTAAGTACCTAGAAGTACCACTGTAAGTACCTAGAAGTACCACTGTAAGTACCACTGTAAGTACCACTGTAAGTACCACCGTAAGTACCACCGTAAGTACCACCGTAAGTACCACCGTAAGTACCCCTGTAAGTACCACCGTAAGTACCACCGTAAGTACCACCGTAAGTACCACCGTAAGTACCACCGTAAGTACCACCGTAAGTACCACCGTAAGTACCAACGTAAGTACCACCGTAAGTACCACCGTAAGTACCACCGTAAGTACCACCGTAAGTACCACTGTAAGTACCTAGAAGTACCACTGTAAGTACCTAGAAGTACCACTGTAAGTACCATGGACTTACCGGCCCGTAATGTAAAGTGTTACCAATAAAAATGTAAAACTTTGAAACTTTGTCCAGCTGGATTTGCTAACAATAACAATAACTATAACTACAATAACTATACAACGTAAACTAAATCAAAATATATCAACCACCCGCGCAAGGTTCAATTTGTGCATGTTTTTGTCCAGGCCACTCCTGCTCAAAACAATGATCAGTTGTTGTGGAGAGTTGTGGAGCTCTGAGCTTGGCATTGTGGGATTTCTATCTTACAATTATCTTCCTTTTATGGTGCGTGGGTCCCATGAGCAGTGCATTCGGCCGCAGACTGTGAAGGAGGGCTTTTGTGGGGCCGTTGTGAGTTGCATAATCTTCAAAGTAACCTCAATGTGAAACAGAGCAGACCTGGTTCACCGCTGATGCCCAGATGTGCCTCCAGATGAGCTAAGGTTGGAGATAGATAGATACTTTATTGATGCCCGTAGGAGAAATTCAGGTGTCCAGTAGCAGCTAAAATAAAAAATAGAATTGATCATTCTAAAAAGTTAAAAATAGTAATAATCAGCAACAGCCCTTCAGGTCACAGCAGCAGAGGTGGAGTAGCCTCTGGGTGGAGCAGGACGGGTCAAAGCAGCAGAGATGGAGTAGCCTCTGGGTGGAGCAGGCCAGGTCACCAGGTGGAGTAGCCACTTGGTTCGGACCATTTTCTCTGCTCTATTCTAAAGTAAAATGCTAAATGCTTCATTAGCATTTTTCTAAAAGTTAGCATTCCTCCAGTGGATTTTCACCTGATCCGTTTGGTTCAGACCATGAATCCTCTCGGCTCTGGTCTGGACCAGTGCAAAACCATGAACACTGTACTGCACCAACATCTCAGACAGAAAAAAGTAAGAATTTTTTTAATTCAAAAGCACAAAACAACAACTTTTTCAGAGATGAGAGCCAGCTTGCTATTCCACGCTTTAGCATCGAATCTACAATAAATGTCTTTCTAATGACAATACTAAAAGGTCAAACTCAAGTAAAGTAAATCTGGGAAGGCTTTTATCTTGTTATGTCTATGCAGTGATATCGTGAAAACACTCAACTTAGAGCTGATATAGAGTGTTCTCTTTCAAACTAATTCAAATGTTTAGGATTCAGTCTGTTCCTACTAATTCCCATAATAATTAGCTTGAAGGACCGTTGTTTAAAGAGAGGGTTTAAATCAGGCAAAAGTAAGCTAAAGAACAGAACAGCACTGACTTAGGAGTGAACAGTGCATTTAAGGTGT